AAAGGTAAACAAACCTGGACACTGGTTGAAGTGGTAAAGGCAGATTCGAATCAGCAGTAATTACTGCAACAGGAAAAAGACCAGCATGAACCCAACTTTAATATGAACAGAAATAGCTGGGTGTTTTAAAGCGAAAATGAGGGAGAAGGGAGAGGGACAAGTGGCAGCTCAGTAGAGTCAGGGGAGGAAAAATTACAAAGGGTCCAGTGTAAATGCATTTAGGCCAGTGCTGTCTGCTAGCCAGTAGCATCGAAGTTAGGATTCTACTTTCACACGGAGACTGGGAGACAGAGGCCCTGCCCTCCGGTGTAGGCTGGAACAAACAATTAACATTTTTGGCATCCTTGAGTCTTCTCAGGCAGGCACTTTAAGGGTGGGGGGGTTGGAGTCATCTTAGGGAGGCAGCCTTGAGCTGTTAGAAACTGTTAGTGGTTGTTCAAGTCTTTACAGGCCAAGGGTGAGGCCTAGGGATCAGAGGAGCCTGGCTAGAGTTTCATAAAGGAGAGAATCTTTGTCAGCTTCTTTAGCTCAGACAAAAGTAAAAAAAAAAAAAAAAAAATTGCATCAATGTGTGTTGAGACTACGTGCTAGGTGCTTCACCAGGCTATGAGGTTGATGCTATTAAGACAATCCCCATAAAAAGGTTGAGGAATCTAAGGCTCAGAGAGGTTCAATCACCTGCCCAAGGTCAGGCAGCCAGAAGTAGCAACTAGAACCTAGGTCTCATGGATTCCAGAGTTCACAGCCCCATTCCATGCACCTAGGCTCTAATCATGCATAAGTGCCCATCTTGCCAGCATCACTGGTCCAGAGAATTGCATCTGGATAAATGTGTGGTGCAAGGCAGTGGTTTTCTGCTCTGGCTGTACACTGGAATAACCTGGGGAGCTTTAAATATATTGGTGCTTGGGTACCAGCCCCAGAACTTCTGATGTAATCAGTCTGCAGTGCAGCCTGGACACAGGGATTTTTAGAAGCCCCAGGTGATTCCTACGAACAGCCAAGTTTGAGATCCACTGTGCTAGACGCCTTCACAGGGCTCATCCCATTTGATCCCTGCAAGAGTCCTTCTTGATCAAGGCAGACAGGCGGCAATGACCATGCCCTGCTGATGAGGAAACAAGCTCAGAGAGGCTAAGACTCACATCGTTAGTAAAATCTGGGTATGGAATCAAGCTTGGTGACTTTCAGCTCTGAGTTCTCTGCTCTACGGGCATCTAATTGAGAGGAAAAAAGCAAAGTCTCCAAGAACAGAAATGAGCAGCTTAATTTCTCTTGGAAGTTCAAAGTTTCTCACTCCCACTGACCGCAGGGAGGAGGAGGTGGTACTTGCCTGAGCCGCAGGACCCAAAACGAGGCCAAGAGATCCAGAGAGGTGAGGAGTGGCCTCTTCTCCCGGACAGCGTTCCCCGGGCAGAAGCCAAGGCTGGGCTGGAGCAGATGGCCTGCAGTTCTCTGAAAGTGCTGCTCCCCACACTGGTGTTACTGCAGTGGTATGATACTGAGGCTGGCTACAGCTGGGCACCGCTGAGGGCAGTCAGGGACCTGTTACTGTACCCTCCCAGGCAGTGAGGGTCCTGGGGCAGTCTCTAGAACCACTCTCCACATCACCCCCACTGCGCCCAGGAGCCTGGTCCAACCTCGGTGGTTCGGAGGGGAGAGAGCACTGACCACCCTAGGGAGACCTGGGGGATGTTGCTGCTCATATCTAACCGGCGTCACTGCCCACATCTGGGGGACGTCACTGCTTACACCCGGGGGACTTCAAGGGTTCCCAGTTGTGGGCAGTAGAGAGACCACCATCCACAGCTGGGGTCAGCAGAGCACCACTGTACATATCTGGAAGGGCTTAAGCTCATCTCCGCCTTGAAGATGCCCCGGGGGGCGCCGGCAGCTGCGGGGCCTCGGGAAATGCGATCCCACCATGGTAGAGAGCCCCTACCCACTCCTAACCCCTCAAAAATGCAACTATCTGAGACAGGCCCCAAGGGGCATCCCGGCCATGACGAAACAGAGGAGGGCCACACCCCCCGGGAGACGCCGGGTGGGGACCGCGGGGCGCAGCCCTCCCAGTCCAACCCCTCGGGGCAGAGTTCCCGCCGACGCTGCCCTCCAGGCCACCCGATCCTCGAGCCAGCCGGACCCACGGACCCACGGAAGGGAAAGGGGACGGCCCCGGGGCGGCGGGACGGTCGTCGGAAGGCGCCCTCCGCGTCGAAGCCGTCTTCCAAGCCCCCCAACATGGCCCGGGGCGGCAGTCAGAACTGGAGCTCTGGGGAGTCGGACGCGCGGCCGGAGGAGCAGGCGGCCGAGACTGGG